GTTTAATCTATAGAAATGTCTTGACTTTGTAAAAATTAAAAAGAAAGGAGATTTTCTTTGATAATCGCATTCTAGGTAAAATATACCTTTATACCCTTAAAAGTGCCACCCATGTCTTTCTGCTGCCCACTAAGATCTCATTGCCCAGGCCCTGCAAGTGCTGTCATGGCGCCCAACTATTTTAGTATACTATACTCTTAAACGCAACTATAGTCTAGCTACGAATCGCTTCGTGTTGGCATTTTGGAATGTAAAACTGTTTTGATTTGAAGAAAAATGACCCTAAATCAATACAAACTAATAACTTCACAAAATATATTCGGAATATATCGAAACCAAGGTGAGATATTGCATTGTTGATAAATATCAAAAAGAAAAATATTAAATGGTATATAAAACATAGAGTGTATTAATTAAATTTCATATCTCTTTTAACCTGTATGATAATTATAATATTATTTTCAATCGATGGACGAGGTACAACCAAAAATCGACCAGATAAACAATCACCATCATATGTAAATGAAATAAATACTCAGTGTTAAGTTTAAAAAAATATTTCAAAAAATGATCCAACCATATGTCATTCTGACATAAAAATACCCAATCCAATCCAATCTCTAATTTATCAGTTTATAAAATTATTTAATAAATAGTATTTCTGGTTTATAATATTTCATTTCAAACAAATCAAAAGTCCGCACCACAGGAAAAGTTTTTGCTGAATGTATGGTGGGCTTTTCGACAAAGAGAGCTCTTTTACAAATCAAAATTTTTCTAGAAGAGATTCTTTGTTTTTCGATGCGATATTGCGCAAAACTAATCTAACTAATTTGTCACGTTATGGGTAAATACGTAACTTTCATTAATATCTGAATAACGGTTCAACACCGTCTGATTCTGTCATTGTGTACGACTTTGCAAAATATAAAAACAAAAAATTCTTGATGTAATTTATGGCGGATAGAATTTTTGATCCTTTTTAATACTAAATTTTTAATACGCCAAGTTTTCATTCATTAATGTTGTATGTTTTGAATCACAATGAATGGTTCAAATGTTTACGTTTTCAAATAAAATCAACATTTTGACAGAGTTCAATATTTCCAGGTTTAACTCGGAGACTATTTGCATCCTTTCTCTCTTTTAACTTATTTTATTTTATATATTATCCACTACACTGCATATGCCTACTACTTTCTTAAAGGCGACCATTTCTTACAGTAAGGCAATTTTTTAACAATATTGCCGGTTTGTAGTGATAAAGAACAAATATTATGTACATTGTGGTATTATTTTTCATCCATCTTGCGGGAAATAGCGAGAAACAGAGTAATCCATTACACTAGTCAATTCAGTAACATTAGTGATGCAACAATATGTCAAAATGTTTTTTGGTTAATTTTATTTAAGAAATGCGATTTTTTGATTCCTCTCCGAATGCGACGCGGGCCACGGATAATGAAGTGGCCGGTCACATGTGGCCCACGTGCCTGGGTTTGGACCACCCTGATTTAGAGCAATCGCTTAGAGGTAATTAACACTAAAAATTTTATTATTTTGTCTTACGTCTTTGATTCTAGAACAATTCAAAAATATTAAAGTTATTAAATAATTGTTGAGGCGCCTCAGCCAAGCGTTGCACATTTTTGCCTTCATAAAAGAATAAACTGTGTATGCATTTGTTGTTGCAGCTATACGTTTTTAGACGATAATACATCGTTCACATACACTCTTGTCCCCGAATGGAACCTTAACAATAAAACACAATATCGACATTGTATTACTCGTTTCATTACAGCTTGTAAAAGATAGCACAAAACTAATATATATAATTTCTTGACAGTACATCGGAACAAGATAACAACGAGAATATCGAACGGAGACCGAAGACTTATCGATCGAAGCTGCGGTTTCTATTCATGACTCTATAGTGACACCGCGTGTCTCATCACTAATTAATTAATAACCCGCTAATTATACGAAATAATCCATCCAAAATAGGCTTCTGGTCCGAGATATGATGAATGTACATGCAAAATTTGGAGCAGATTCAACCACGCCTTCGTGAGATATTGCGTGCATCTAACAGACAGACAGACAAATACCTATCAACATACTTACCGATCTAAAGATCATGAGGTGACTTTATTTGACACGTCCTAATATTTATCTGCTTCACATTTTTTCATATATGATCTCTTGATAATATATATCAATGAAAGATACAGCTAGAAAGATTAAAATCTTGGTGTGTACATTCATGGATCAGACATTATAATATTATTCAGAAGCAGGTACCTTTGTAATAAAGGCAAAAATTGTAAGAGGGTATAAATGTAAATTTACTTATATTGACTGATTTATTTTGCAATTCAGCCACAGTATTGTTTATAATGAAGTTTTCATTCAGAACCATTTTGATATCATTTATCTGCTTCACTGCTAATTAACACTCAACAAAATTTTTCGACCAAAATTGTGATTCTATTATTTTAGAAAATTATTCATATAGAGCAGTGTTTTCCAAACTTTTTTCTGCCAGCGCCCCCTTGGACGACTTTTTACCTATCAAACGCCCCCCTGACAAAAAAAAGTCAAGGCAACTTTATTCTCCATTTTCATTAGTATAATGTGAAGGTTGAGCCTAGTGAAACACCACCAGCTTGATAATATCTGGTTTCATTTCAGCCAAAAACAGTCTTGAGTCTCGTCTGACATTGTCGAGGGTACCTCTCCTGATATGTAAAAGTGCGGTCACTGCACTAAATACACGCTCTACCAAGAATGAGCTGGCAAGAGCAATACAAAAAACCTTTTGACCCTATCTCACTCGTGAGGATATTTCAATTTGGTTCTGTTGCCAAAAAGACGGAACACTGAACATGGGTTTGAAAGTATAAACCCCATGGTAGTGGTGCATTTTCGCTTCTGGAAATTCAGGGTTATCTAGAAAACGGGAACCAAAAATTTCTTAACTATCTCCAAAGAAATTATTACTTATCGATTTTAATCCGTAAGTATGTTGATAGGTGTTTGTCTGTCTGTCTGTTAGATGCACGCGATATCTCACGAAAGCGAGATTGAATTTGCTCCAGATTTTGCATGTGCATCCATCATATGTCGTACCAGAAGCTTATTGATTTGGATGAACTATGTCGTATAATTAGCGAGTCATTAATTAATTAGTGATGGGACACAAGGTGTCACTATGGAGTGAAAGCGCTGTTTTGGCGGATCCCCTAACTTTCGATCGATAAGTCTTCGGTCTCTGACCGATATTCTCGTTTAATTTTATTTGCGCTTGAACTTCTGTTTGCGTATAATTATAATCAGGAGTTTCGCAAAGTTTTTAACCACTCACTCAATTTTCTGCCGAAGCGCACCTTCTGCTGTCATTACGTGGTTGTGCCGAGAAGAAATCTGGACATTACTTGAGGGATTGATAAAGATGACCAGCAGGGATCCAGCATGACGATGCGACCCCCATAAATCAAATCAGACGCTTGCTTTCCTGAGAAAAAAGTAAGCAATGACATCCAGTGGGCACCTTAATTATCGGACTGAAACTATTTAGATTCTGATATGTAGGGTGTTCAAAGGACAATTTGTATCAAGACAATCTTCAGGACGATTGATGAACTCAAGGCTGCAATTGCAGGAATAATATAGAGAAATACCCAAAGTGGAGTAATTGACAATGTTGCAAAAAAATGCAATTCTTTCCTCAATGCCAAGGAGAGCATTTGGAACATATTCTAGTAACAACATAATTTTAGTGCCAAACGTCCTAGATTTTCCGATACTTTTAGGTACAAACATACGCAAACAGAAGTTCAAGCGTAGACAAAATTAAATATTTCACTCCATTTTCGTAGAAGTAATTGAGAAATTGATGGTTCCGTTTTGGGGGACCACGCCAACCGGGAAGTTTACCACACATTTTTATTTCCGCGGATTGCCGTGGTATTTTAGAGTAGTGAAGCATTTATTTTGTCGACGCATCCGCAGGTTAAATTCAAGACAAGTAAATTAGAATAAAGCAAGACAATTGAAATATGGCCGTATCTGTCATGGATTGATTACTTTGCACAATTCTGGATTTCGAGGCGATAAATATGTATTTTTTGATTTACTGATATATACTTTATATGTGTTTAATTGTACTATGTGGGATTTTTATTACAGATCTTGAGATTTTTCTAACAGCGACAACGAATTCGTAAGATCACAAAAAAAAGTTATGTAACTAAATACAAGTAGGCATGTTTATCTCATATTTTTAGGTCAAAAGATTGAGCGGTATTTTAGACTAGTAATTTTTATATTTTGACGAAAAAAGACACAACCGCGAGTTACGTTGGACACCATCATATTAATAGAAGAAAGTTTTATAGATTCTCGTAGCTGTCGTGAATTGAATATTTTACGCGACAGAAAAGTCGGTATACACTGAAAAAGTCTTCTTACGAGCGCTTAATCGCGGAGATTGTTTCAGGAGGAAATGGAAATTTCCCATTTTAACCACCCTGCTTTTTGAAAATCCTGGTCGCGCGCCTGGCTGACTGGGTACCTCACTGAAGCCAATTTTTTTGATCATTTCAGCGTTCGCTACATGTATCCCTAACAAAAATGATGGAATAAATCTTCCTTTCTTCAGTATTGACGCGTTCACGTCTTTTCGGGCTACAAAACTAATCGTGAATAGCCTTCAAACCTATTAATTAAGTCGTGCAAAGACAGATCGAAGGTAGAGATGGCGTATGCCGAAATCTCGCGTTAGCTAATTTCCATGCACGTTATCCTATAAAATAAATCTGTTTTACATCCTCTTACTATTCAAATCAGGTAGTTGACTATGCAAACCAAACACATGAAAATGTTTGGCACGCGAAGGTGCTCATTATTCATAAAATGGCACTCTGAGTTCAAAAGGTTGCCGACCCCTGCTCTATGTCTATCTATATTACGTAACCTGCAGGTTGAATGAACAAACCTAACTACAAAGGGAATAACCTTTGAATCAGATAGTAGGTATTTAATTCGAAATGGAATATTTAAACTATGTGCATGATTTATCATAATATTTCTTTCGTCAATATACTTTGAACAAAATAGTAAAAAATGGACTACCGCATACCGGTACAGTTTCTTGTACGGAGCAAGTATCGCATTCACCATCTGGGTGACAGCCTATTTTAAAAAGATGGTGAGAGAGCCTGCAATGTCCAGTCTGGAGTCTAAATAAAATGGATTGATGATATCGCATTGCCATAAGAGAAAAGTCCTTGCTTCTGGAAAAAATTGACTGGCTAACTAATCACATGCCCGACGTGGACTGATAACCAGACGAGAGGCCGTCGTTCGCCATATGACAGTATGATTAAGCCGCCTTGTCACTTTCCTCTCCCCGGGATAAATAAGTAAATGCCATCCATCCTACTCTTATGTTATGTTCAGCATAAACCTCATCCGAACTTTGGCCAACTTTCCTGAATTCCCATTCTCTGATGCACTGCGTTGTTTTGTCTCTTGTCAGTTTTTGTTTAACACTAGGCCTATTATTGCATGATATTCGAGTTCCGGTTCAAAATACTGATATAAATTCGCATTTATTTCACCTGGATCCCAGATGACTGGATGGTGCTGATCTAAACAGTCTACTGTCTGACTGTAGTTTATGTCAGCCATTTTATTAGGTATTGGTACTGTACTGTTCACTAACAGACAAAGCAGACAGTCAAATATGCACAAACAGATAAACCAATTGGCAATTAAAATCTGAATACCAGTACCGTAACTGTCATATTTGTTATGCAAAACTTTACCTCACCATCAAAAGAATTTCAAAATTTGTACGATAGTCACCTCTTTGTGCTTTGAATTTTATACAGATGCCTTTATTAAAATCTGAATATGGTCAGACAGTAACTTAGGCTGTATCTGATATATGGCTATATCTGTAACACATGGTTAATCTATGGTCTGATTTATTACATAGATCTAGGTTTGATTGTATTTAACATAGACTGTTAGACATATATCTGTATACAGGTATATACAGACATAATTCATAGTGTACAAAATTAGGTTCTACAGGAAACAATTCAAACTAAATCTAGATTTTTTGGGATTCGGGAATACACAACTACAGAATCATGAGTATTGTTTGTGCAGAAAACAATGTCAGGGAAGATATTCAAGACATAGAAATATCTATTAAAAAGGTTTGGTGCATTTATTTTAATTTCAGAATATAGCTTTTTGGGGTACCATTACATTTGAACCCATGACAATTTCACCTGTATGCTATTGCACCTATGGAATTTTTTTTGTTTCACGGATAGTTAAACCCATACTAACCCTAACCCATGGGTTTTAGCACCCGCATATAGATTGAACCCGTGGATATACGCATGGGTTCAAATGTACATGGGTTCAAATGTACGGTCACCATATGTAATAGCTATATTTGTATATTTATGTTTTTTCAGATCATTTCCCCTACAAAGTTTTGGGCCCAAATTATGAAAGATCATGACATTGATGCATTTCAAAGCTTAAGTGAGGATATTCAACAATACTTTAGTGATGCAACTTTCAGTAAGTCGAGACTTTCAAATCCAGTGGAAGGAAAGGTAACGTTTTCTTTATTTGGGAATCTTCAATAAATGGAAATGCAACATGACAGACATGATGCAAATTTCATTTGTTCAGAGGTGTGTTGTGAAAAAGGATGATCGTACATGGCACCGTGCTTTCATTGATAAAGTGTTTGTATCAGCACGCGGATTGATTATGTATTGCAATTTAGTGGATGAAGTTGATTACAGCAGCATTCCTTCTCAATGGTATTTGTTCTTTTTTTTCAATTTTGGTCATCAATTGGACTAAGCTCTCTGTTGTAATGGTTACTAAGGCATTGTAATTTGAATGTTGATTCAATCGATTCAAGTTGTGAAGAATTAATATGCAACAGAACTACAGAAGCATTAATGAAATGATCATGGTTACTTTTGAATATGACAAAATATCATTATTTCGAAGGAAAAATAATACAATGCAAAATATTTTTCTACTGACCAAGCAATACCAGAACTGGGATTTGGTATTTGAAACACAAGATATTGGTATTTTTGACAAATCACTCAATTCATAACAGGTTTTTTTCCTTTTTATAAAACTGAATCCATTTGTTTCATTTAATTGCAATATTTGGTTTTAGCGTTTATGAAGCACCTGCATGGGTGTGGAATCACCCAATACGGTCTGCTTGTTTTGGACTGTATGGAATCGCTCCTCTGAGGCTTCGAACTGATTATGCTGATGAAAGAGTAGATATTGTGTAAGCTTAGTCATTATTTGTTCTAGGTAAAATAAGCAAGAAATGGGAGTAGGTGCATGTTATTGAAAATAATAAATAAGTTGTGATTCCTGTTTTCTGATTTTAATTTTTTTGCTGGAGTCATGTAAACAGATACGGTATATCTGAAGCCTTCATATGTTGGTTCAATATTTGTAATGGTGCATGCTCTGAAATATTCAAAAAAATAAGTCAAGATCTTAGTAAGTTCATGTATATGTTTATAGGGATGCCTTCCATTTTTTACCCAAATGTTTTTGAAATACTACAGAGGTTATCAACAATTTTCTATCTGAATTGAATTTCTAAATCTCACCCAATGATAAAGAATTATGCGCTTCGTTATGTCTGAACACCATGATGATGACAGTTGACTATTAAATTTGGAAAATAAATGTTTTATGATCCTATTTCTGCTAAAGTGAACAATGAAACCTAAATTTAAAATTTTTTATGTATAAGGTTGTAAAACGTTTAATTCATACGATTGCTATAGGGAATCGAGAAATCTTGAGAGATGGGATGAAGCAAGCAATAAACACTTCCAAAATATGTGCAAGGGTAAGTATCCGGATATCTAAATTCACACAAGATATAACATTTTTAAGGAAAATATATCATTTACTAATAACTTGTTGAGAAATATTAGTATCAGATCAAAATGTTATGAATTATGATAGGTTCATAGCCATAGAATATATTTCACTTATTATTTATCTCTCATTTATTCTTTCCAGGTTTTCAATCCTTAGGAGCACAAATTATTGAAGTCGATGAGAAAAATGTTATATGGATTAAACTCTTCAGTCAAACTGGTGAAAAAGGGGTAATACTTCAATAAATATAATTCATCATAAATAGATATTGTTTCCATTGACTAGATTTTTCAACCTGGTATCCCAACTTGATCCATCCTATCTTCAAGCCCAGATTTGTTGGAAAATACCAGTAGTTTGTTCATATACTGTTGCATTGCTTGTTCAATATCTGTTTAGATTTAATGTTACAGTTTTGAAACTGTAACTTTATGTACTGTATATGCTATATCATATATAAGTATATTGTATAAAATAATATACTTGAAGTTATGAATCGTGAAAGGACTTTTGGTTTGTATACAGGGTGGACAACAATCCTTTCGTATTTTATTAATTAATTCATAAAGAATCTAGAATGTTGGAGGTTTCTTCAACTCCCCTGTACTTCTATTTTTATCATACAGCCTGAACCTGTGAGTATGTAGCTCACTACTAAGTTTTGAAGATGATATATTTTTCAAATTGATTTCATTTATATTTAGGAGTCGTTTTGTGTGAATGAGGAGCTGATTAAATATAAGTATGCTGCTGTGAAATCTGTTAAAAAATTGAACTCAGCGGGAGATAGGTGAGCCATGCATATTCGATGCTCACAATAGTTCAGTTTGCAGTTCCCTGAATGCACTTACGCTTTACCCTCTGAAAAGACAGGCAGCGAGTTTTTTCATTTTCTTGTGACAATAAATTGCATTTTTTACTTATTTACCCCATTGAAAACGTCATTTTTATTCTTGGTTTCTGACAATAATTTTTCAGCTATGAGCATGCATTAAATGACTGATAACATACCAACAGGCATTGTGAGATTGCGATATCTCGGTTTGAATGAACGCAAGGAAACATCATTAAACCAGTTAAGGGAGAATCATTTACGCGTGTATCGGGGCTGCTGCTTTATATTTGCTCAAGTTATAAACTTAGTTCTTTTAATGAGTATAGCGTTTTCTTGAGTACCTATGGTATAAGAAAAAGTTAAAACGAGAGCTAAGGCATCTTGTCCAAATCTGCCAGGGCACTCTCGCACTTTTTTCTGACTTACGAGAAACCTTTGCATTCATAATTCCCCTAAATGATCACTGAGTTTGATATTGTTTCTTCCTTCAAAGTTTTTAAATTGTTCATATTTGGATGGAATAATGATTTTTATGTTCAGCGATGAATCTGATAAAGAAGGAAAATATCTATCTCTGAAGCAACTTACTGCTCTACGTGATAATCTCAGTACACTTTTAAAAGAGGTAAGTCAATTTGCCATTCTCATCAATTATTAACTCTTACCAAATTTTTTTATGGACTGTTAGAATTGCATGTTTGAGTGTAAGTGAATATAATTGTGCTATTTTGTTACAAACATTCAAATCTATTTTTGTTTGTTTATTTATAAACAGAACACAAAACACCCGAAGTGGCTATCAGATACTGATTCCCCAAGCAGCGATGGATCTCAAATTCCTCGTAGTAGTGATGATGTGCATGCAAGTGGAGTCTTATCATCACACAAAATATTTCAAAATCTGCAGAGTGGTCATTTTACTGGGGACCAAAACGTAGATCCAACTCAAAATCCATCAGAATATATTGATGGTGATGTGCGAAAGTTTGGTGGAGAAAATTTACTCAATGTTAATTTGAATGATTTTATTGGTGACAATGTTATAACATCCAGCCATTCCATGTTGGGGAATCATCCTACAAACCTTCTTCCTAGAAGCTCATTAGGAATAAATTCGACAGAAAAGCTTGATTCAAAAGGTTCTTCTGGCCGATTGCTTCCTCATGCTTCTTCTGATAGTACTAAGATGATAAATTCTAGGACAGAAAGAAATCGAATTGCCATAGTTGAAAATTCACAAAGTTCAAAAGGTGTTCCTTTGCGTTCTATTGCAATGCAAACTGGATTGGATAGTTCATCTGATTCTGAAGAAGAAAAATTTGGCCTAAAAAGTTTTGGAACACAAGTAAACTTTGACGATGATGGGATAACTTCTGATAAACCTCAGCTCAAAACTATGGAAGTGTTTAATTTTAAAGAACAATCCGGATCACAAATATCAAATGTACAAACTTCTATTTCCAATTCTGATTCATTGCTTGAGGATTATACTATGAAAAGTTGTCGCAAGGAGATGATAGACCAGAATTTCAAGGATCAAAAAGATATAATCAACATCCAAATTCAATCTCAAGGTGGAAACGGCTCTTTAAAGTCGTACACATCTAAAGTACTGCCTAGAGTAAATGATTTTTATGTCAATGCTCCATTGGTAAACATCAAAACCGGCGATAACTGTTCAGGTCTGTTCTAATTTGTTGTTCCAAATACGGTAATATCTTTGTTACCCTCATTTTAGGAACTTTGTTATCCAGGACTTTTTATAAGACTGGTTTTGATCTGGGATTGCATAAACTTAGTGCGCTATTTATAGCTACTGATGCCGAGTTTTTATAGAATTATCATTGAAAATGGTGATATAGAAAATTGTTTATCTTAGACTTGATTGTTGATGACAATACTATCACATAGGCATCAAACTTTTCTTATCCCTTGGAAAATATGAATATCTTATTCCTCCATAAGAAGTTTTTTTAATGAGTTTAAGAGTCAGCAATCCCATTTATTTAATTTTTTTGATGGTGAGAATTTGATATTGTAAGTAAAATCCAACATTGTCTTTAGATGGCAAACTTCAGGAAGATAATATAGAACATGATCATTCTGAAAATGATGAATATACCAAAGAAGTCAAAGAACCTGCCAGTTCTCTTCTTCAAACTGTATTTATTCCTGACAACTTGCATTCGGGAAGCGTTATTCTCATTCGTGGTGTTAATCCACCTGACCCGATTTCACTGTTTTGCAAATCACCATTTCCATCTGATATTCTACACTTGATGGAGGTAATGATTGGTAGCTGCATTTTTTCTATTTATTTTATAGAAATAAAAGTTATTGTAGTAATAACAAACAACAGGGAATTATTGAGTGAAATTTGGATCTTTTTACTTATCGATCTTTAGATCGGTAAGTATGTTGATAGGTATTTGTCTGTCTGTTTGTGTTAGATGCACGCGATATCTCACGAAGGCGTGGTTGAATCTGCTCCAAATTTTGCATGTGCATTCATCATATCTCGGACCAGAAGCCTATTGATTTTGGATGAATTATGTCGTATAATTAGCGAGTTATTAATTAATTAGTTATGGGACACGCGGTGTCACTATAGAGTCATGAATCGTAACCTCAGTTTCGATCGATAAGTCTTCGGTTTCTGACCGATATTCTCGTTTATTTTTTGTTGATAAAGGTTTTGGATTTTTTTAATTGACGCAAGGTAAAATATTCCTATATTTGGTTGTTATCTGATGTGACATGTGTTATTTGGATGTAATATAGGCATGAATTAGATAGAAATTCTCTAGATTCACACTAACATAGTTCATTTCCATATTTCTTCGTGTGTGTACTAAACTTTCAATATTTTATCAAGTCAACCTTCAGATATAAGGGGCCAAGACTTATTCAAGCACATGCATGGCCTGCAATTATCTCTCACCGTGATGTACTAGCGATTGCTCCTACTTCTGGTGGGAAAACAATAGCATATCTTGTTCCTATTGTTCACATGATATTGAGGAATAAGGAACATGATATTGGATCAAAACAACCTATAGCAGTGATTGTCACTGCTGACTGGAGTGATGTACAGGTTTGAAAGGATTCCTTGCTTTTCAATATTTTTGTTATTAATCAATTAGAAATGAGCTTTGTTTCAACTAAATCTGTCTAGAATTGAATTATATGTAATTCATAGACTACATGTCATGCTCAATCTATTTCAATGATGTCACTTTCAGTAGTTACCTTGTCAAAACATCTTATTCAGGTTCGTTTGTTTCGTATATATTTGTTTTACTGGATTTTTGGTATTGTACCTCCTGTACAACCATTATAATCCTTAAGAGTCAAGCCCCTATTTTTTGAAGAATGTTATTTTTATGCTATTTTTCCGATCATTTTCAAATATCTTTTGTAAACATGAATCGTTTTCAGAATCTGCATGAAATGTTTGAAACCTTCTTTTTTGATGAAGCGAAAGAAATTGGTGTTGTTGCCGTATATGGCGGAACCCATGCTGAAAAGTTAAAAGCATCGGAAATAGCTTCAGGATGTAGTGTATTGATTTGTACACCTCCTGCATTGCTCCGCATGTTCGAGGCAAAATACATGAACTTTTCAAGGTATATATCTTTAATTAAATTTGTTACTGTGGATGTGGAGTAAACATGCAGTGTGTAGGACTGTAATTGACATTGCTAGAGAAATGTTAATATTAATTTAGTTTTTCATGTCATAGGTGTGAATGAAAATCTAAACTCTATGTCGTCATTGCTATGCTGATAACAGTTTCCCCTTGTGGGATAATTGTGTGCAAAAGCACTTCGCGCCCCTTACATATATCAATGATTGGGTACTGATTCTTCCACAGCAAGTACATTCATTTGAATGATAAACTGGTTGGCTACGCACATCCCCTCCACTACCAGTAATCTGAGGAAAGCCCTCATTTTGTCATACGATGGAGCTGTTCTAACTTTTATTCGGGCTAAGTTACCCTCCCACAGAATGATTAAAATCCTTATTCATAGTACCATATATCACTTACAAATGTTCAGACTTCAATTTCTTGTACTGGATGATATCAATGTACTTGCTGAGGAATTCACAGAAGAATTGAAAGAAGTGATGAAGCATCGAGTTAACACCCTTACGATGGCGGCTGCTCATTTGAAACCTCACAAACCATCTCAGGCAAGTAATCAATTCATCTTTGAGGTTTTCTAAATGGAAATTTGATTAATGATTATATTAGAAAAGTGGTATCTCGTCATATATTACAGTGTTGTTTCACTTTGTAAGCACTTTTGAAAGTAAATTGAGCCTGAGTATGCAGTTTACAAGCAGAAATGCATGCAACAGAAATCTTCGATTGATCGAGATTAAGGTTGAAAATATTATATGAGAGTAAAGTACACGAAAATGATAATAGACAATTAAAATCTTCATTGACAAAACATGACCATGTGCAAATTTTATTTTATTTTGATCTAATTTTCTCAGTTGATTTGCATGGGATCACAGTGGACAGAAGGTGTACATTCATTCAGTAAAAGATTTATGAAACATCAACCTCTCCTTCTGATAAGTCATCCTTTGGAAGCTGCAGTTTATGGAAATGTAAGTTTTTTTTCATTGTGTTGGAGAATCAGACTATATCGTATATTAAAAACACTGTGATCAACTGTGATAGGTTCAGCATCGAGTGATAACATGTCATGAAGGACAGCGTACTGATCATGTATCAAATATTCTGCAACATTGGGAAGAAAACAAACATGGAGGAATCTCAATATTTGTTGAAAAACCAGAAGATGTAGAAAGAATACAATCAATTGTTCAATCATTAGGATATTATTGTTTGCAAGGTATTTTTCTGTTTTGACTCCTTGATTGAGACAAATATCTTGTTGTTTTGCAATGATAGTTCGCAAAGACTGGCAAATTACTCACTTCCTCCCCATCTAGACATAGGAAGTAATGAGTTTATCAAGTCGGGAAAACGTAATCATCAATATGATGTAATAACATAGGAATTGAACTCAAGACATTTCACCTGTGACATCACGACCACAAAATGACTCAACAACTTAATACATAAACAAAGTTAATAATTTTCTTAGCACACAGCAATATGTGTCAGTGGGAGATTGATGAAGTACGAAGACAATTCGAGGATGAATCTTGTTCTCCTGTTCTTGTTGCTACTGATGACATCATTACTGAGCTTGATATCTATTCAATGCAGGTGTGATTGCTTGAACAATGTTTCTTTGTAATTATTATCTGTCAAATTATGATAATTTAATCACATTTCAGGTGTAGCTTACAAAAACCAATGTCTATTGATATTTCTGTATTTAGCAGATCTTTATATAGATAAAGCTTTGAGTATTTTGTTTCTGAAATTACTAGTCTGCATGTATTATTTGCCATATAAAATTATTAGAAAAGAAGACTGATTTAATAAGCATAAAGTAACGATAGTTATTCTTTGATATTACAGTACACTAATAATGCATAATATGCAATTAATGAGGTGCTTCTGACTGTATATCAGCACAGCACTTTTTCCACTTCCAATTTACTGTTTTCAGCAAACTTTTATTGCTTTATAGTTGTCTATCTACCATATGGGATAGTTGTCTATCTACCATATCGGCCACCAAGCACTCTTCATTCATAGTGTGAAATGCAATATTTTTTGTTATTAGATGGTAATCCATTTCTCATTTCCGATGAGTCAGCACAAGCTGGGGTTGCGGTTATCAACAATGCAGACATATTTTCGATCTAAAGAAAACTTGGATGATTGTGTTTTACCATCGTAAGTTTATTGGTAGATTTAGGTCTTAATACATTCAGAATATTTTGTGTCAGCTTAGTGATGTTCATACTAATTCTTAATCAATTTTGTATAGTAGATCTATGATTTTATTTGAGATTGTGAGACCAACCAGATCAAATTGGCTTGGTATTATCAATAACAATTTAATTTGTTGAAAACCGCTGCCGTCAATGTTTCATTTTATACGATACCAAACATGTACAACTCTGCCCTCAGTATTAAAACACATTTCAATTCATTGTACTCGTTTAATTTCTGGAACACCCATTAAACAGAACCCATAAATTTCTTTATTTCAATGAAAATGGAGAGCGTTTATTTAACACTTTCACTTCTATTTATGTATGATGTACCCAAATGTTTCTGTAATCTAGGATCTTAGTTTTGTTTTTGGTGTCGTTACAATCTTCTGGTTGCTCCCCTGGTTTTAACTGTTCAAAACACGGGGGTTCGATAAAAGCTCCTAGAGTAACGCAGGGGTTTGGTAGGAAGGTTAAGAAACACTGCTCTATAGTCTTTTAGGAAATACACTCAAAAATGATTTATTTGCCAAAGCTATTTTATTAATGACATTGGTTTTCACCTGCGTGTTAATGTCCAAAAACCATTTAGAGATTATTTCGAAGGTCACCTGACCTCGTGACAAATTCACTTTTTTATATCTACTATTTTTCAGATCCTATTTTCTAATGTCAATGAATGATTGTCATCATGCATCGGATTTAATGAGATTTTTAGAAAGAGTTGGTCAAAGTTTCCCAAAGGAATTGTCATCATTAGTTGATTTTGCAAGCAAGGTAGGGAGGAGACTTATTTTTTTATCTTTCTTTGGTTAGTTCTCTAATAGCATATCTCAAACCATCTGTGTGGAGTGCTTTACATTTGTTTGGAAATATTAGTATTTACATATTTAGTCTTGTCTTTTTATTTCAGGCTCAAAATAATGTGAAAACTACAATTTCACTTTGTCCCGTCATGAAATCGTTTGGACTTTGCAGAGATGAGAGTATTTGTTCTTTCAGACATAAGATAACTGCAATAGATGGGCCAAACTTAAATCCGAAATTTTTAAAGGTACTGTTTACTGACATATGATTTTTTGTGGGTAGTGAAAGATATATTTTGGGTCATGGACATGGTAATATCAAATACCTATTAAAGCTACATTGATACCTTGCTTTTCCTTTTGCTCAATGTTCTCAATTTGTTTGTATAAATTTTGATGTAAACATTGGATATTAGTGAATGTTAATTCTTTACAAATCTCTGAATCGCCTCGAACTTTTTTATTTTCTGCCGTTGTTTCTGTAATCTATAGTTTATTTGTTGTATTTTTTAAGCTATGATTCATAATCAATCCTTACATCAGAACCTTAATTTAGATTCCAACATCTGGACATGTTTGTGTGCAGATAACTCATATTGTTGATGCTACTCATTATTATGCGAGACCCCTAGCTATTAAAAATGAATCGAACAATCAGATTTTGACATTCAAAGCTGGTTATGCAAAATTGACTATGGACATGGCAATGTATTTCAGGTAATATTTATTTTGTATCGAAAGTATGGTAGTAAAGTTGCTGTTAATTTATTCTAATAGTCAAAAATGAAATAAGGTTCTGGATTTTGAACCTAAATAATATTGTTTCTGTCATTTGAAAAGTTGAAAATGTGATTTACATGCTGTTTCTGTTCTTATTTTGGCTTATATATATATAGATATATATTTATATTCTTGTATGGTACGATACGAATACGATTATTCACTGAATTGTCATATTCTAGATGGATAATTTGAGGTGATATATATGTATATGAGAACTATTAGTTCGTTCATTAATGTGAAATGATTTTATGTGCACGGTTATGCAAAAGCAGAAAAATATATTTTATTTGAAAGCCAAGAAAATCATCTCAAACGTTTATCGGAGGATCCTGTCCCTGACACTGTTTATGCCATTGCAAAATCATATGACAGAGTTTGTGTTCTGAGACTAGCAAAACCTGATGAGATGAACAAAAAAGATGTTAAGGAATGGTCTACTGTTAAAAATAAGGTTCGTGATAGAGTGGTTGCTGTTGTAAATACTACGAGTCATTGAATTTCTCAGGTCATCACGATGTAATACTATTAGACTGTGGTGAGCTGTAGCCAGAACGTCGTTCAGGATGTTATATATTTTATTGCATTTGTGTTCCTGTTGAAATGAAGTTATATTGTTAAAAGTTTAGTTTCTCGGGTAAACTTGGTTATCAACTGTACGTTTTCTTACATCATAAATATTTCAACATCCAGCAGATAAATAATAAGTCCAGCGGTAACGTGTAATGGATGTCTCACCGATCCCAGAAAAATTTTTCCTATACCCTACAATTATGCTATTTGTCATGGCTATTTTGAAGAGGTTTTTGAGTTCTGGCCTGTGCCGACAGGTTAAACGCTTCAAAACACCATTTTATCTAGCATATTTTATCCTAGCATTTGATTTCATTTATACTCAGATTTTGAAAACAATCAAAATCGTACAAACGAAACCGAAAACTGCGAAAACGGGGCAATGTTTACAATTGGCTTAAAAATCTGTACAAATGAAAAAAGTGTCTCGGCTGCTGACTAAATTTCAATTATTACATCACAACGAATTTTAAGATAATATGCCATTGTTACTGGAAAAAGGCAAGGAAGTTAGTTGATGCTTAGGGAAGCATCCTTTCAGCAATGTTTTCTCCTGCTGGCTCATTATCTCTGGTGATAAGAGAAGATTCAGCAGAGAAATCTAAATCTACAAAGACTATATAGTTTGCAGGGCCAATGCTAGAAGTTTTCTAACAAGCTAGTCATTTTAATTGTTTCTCATTTATATCATCAATATATCAGGCTGACAAGAAATCATTGGTATGTTGGACAACACCGGGAGGAGCAAGAAAAACTTGTGTTAGATTGGTTGATACTGGTTCAGTCAGAATCATAAGATGTGATGAACTACTCAAACTTCCAAAGAATTTTACGTCAATTCCTTTTCAGGTATGAACTCATGTTTGGTTATATTTTTAATGTAAACAAGTTAACAAAACCTAATTTTTATAAATTATGGAATCTCTTGGAAAGCTTGCATGTTCTGGCTTCTTTAAGTAAGAATTACCGGTAGTAGTATTGGCATTTGACATATAAAATTCTTGTATACGATAATACCTGTTTGACTCTTTTGAATTTGTATGCTGCTTCTGCTCACCCAATTAATTTAGGATGCTTTCTGATAGTACATTGCATTTAAAATATCGGTATGTCCATCCTACCTACATTTTATACTAACAGGCAATTGAAGTTATTGTTTGTGGTGCTCGACCTGTCGACAAGGATACAAAATGGTTAGCTCAAGCCAATGAATTCATTCATAATCATATTTACAACAAGGTAATCTTTTACATTGTCAATAGTTGTTTTGGTCTATATCAGGAATGTCAAACCTTTTTTAATGAATGGATCAAAAATTATATTTTTATTGTGTAAAATTAGACCGTGGGTCATACCCATTTGATCACAGTTTGCATCATGAGAAACTTACAATTGCGACTTTTCAACAAGTCTTATAATTCTTGTATGATATTATGTAGTTTTAAGATTTACACATGACATGCAGCACTTGTTGAAATACATGTGCGAAAACACAGACTTGCATATCGAAAAATGTTCATAAAATGAGGCAAATCTATTCTTAGTTTGGAAGGGAATTTTACCCCAATAGAATTATATGTTTTGCTATATGGTTTTCAATCACATTTAAGCCATTACAGTTCAGATCCATTGTTATTTTCGATTCCTGAACTTTAAATGCATTTTTATAATCTTATAGTCGCACAATATTCATACTTTTTTGTTCTATTCTGATTGTGACATCATTCATAGTGGTATGTTGGTTCATAAACATCTTGACAATTAGAAAAGTCAAACAGGGCTGTGTATGTCCACTTCACTGACTATTTATTTTTTTTTTACAAGATATTGCCGGCAACGTGGCCTGCTTGTTTCTGTATTTTTCATTCAATATCGACTGATTTTTGTCACATTGTTCACTTTCAAATTACAATTATTCTGAATGTTTAGGAATTGGAAGGCAATATTGTGGCTGCATTGGGTCATACAATATGGCTTCATCCTGCTGTTATTCGTTCGAAACTTCCTCTCACAAAATGTACAGTCACTGATTTCAATGTCACTCAGGAACTCATCAAAATGAAGTCTGCTGACAAGAATTTCCAACAACTTGAGATGTAGGTGTCGCAATATAGATCTAGGCTAGAATCCTGAAATATGGTTTTCAATAATGAATACTATTATTTTGTTAGTCTGTGTATGTATCGATGAGGAATTTTATTAATCCTTTTACCAGTGTATGTCAAGTCAAGTTCATTCTTTCCAGCTAGTAAATAAATAAGAACAACTGAACACAGAAAATACGAGAGAAAAAAAATGAAAATTACAGTTTTACTGGGGAAGGGAAGTCATGAGGAACCAAAGCTGGTTATCGAGCAGAAATGGAGTGACACCGAGAAATTATTGCAAAAAATTGTTGTTAAGAAATTATTGCGAAAAATTGTTGTTAAGAAATTATTGCGAAAAATTGTTGTTAAGAAATTATTGCGAAAAATTATCCCTCATGTACCTTATCTAAACCAGAAAAAATCAATTCCTCACCTGGAGCCAATAAAGTATCCTTGTCTTGAATGCCACTTCCAGATCTGAAGTAGGAAGTAAACAAAGGGAAAATAACGCAGTTCAATATATATATATACACATACACACCTGTAATCTAAAGGTTGCAAAGCATTCAATACTGCACTTTACATTGCTCATTCCTATGCTATTGAGAAGTACAATAGTAAATTTGCATATTTTTGTGCATAATTTTTCATATTAAGCTTCTTACTAACAGCTCAGCCTTGTTTTATTACAGTATTAAAAAAGCTTACCCTGAAATATCGGATGGAGCGAATGTTATCCCACAAATAGAAAGAAACACCACATCACGGAAAAAATTGTTGAACCAACAGCCTAGTGAAAAATGTAGAAATCGGATTTTTATGTCTTCGGTGGCATTGGAAAAATCTGTAAAAGGTGATTATTTTCAGGTTGCTTTTTGTTTTATACATCATGCACCGAGTGTTATCCGAATAATATTGAATGTTATATTTTATTTAGCCAGATCAGCTCATGATGATGTGACCGCTGTCATGAGTGATACAGAAACCAAGGTTTCACTTCAGTCAATCAAGAAAAGATCCGAATCATTGTCAAGTTCTAGTTCAACTTTGAGTAGCCCATCTTCAAATGATAAAGAGAATGCAGATTCTTCTACGGTCACAGGAAACAATTTTAGTCAATCTAAAAACTCAGTTCCTGTTGGAGGTGATGTTCCAACAAAGCCATATTTTTCAGGTAGTAGGCAAAAATATTGGTGTTGGTTAAGTTTTAGATGTCTTAATCTTGTTGTCTGCTAATATAGAGATCTGGTTAATTAAGTGTCAAATGAATTTATTCTGTGATTCAGCTTGATACTTCAATTTATCTAATTTCATTATTATACTTCAAATAGTATTTGTTCCCATACTGCTAGTGAAACCATGTTAATTCCATCTGCTGTGATGGTGAAATGAGTCGTTTACTTTGAAAAATATAAAATAGGTTAATTGACTGGTTGTAACTATTGATGGTATACATTTAAGAAACTTCTATTTCTGAACTGAGACCACAGACATATTCAAGTGATGTTGCACAAAAAAAGGATGAAAAACAGGATCAAGGAATACTGACAGAGAAAGGTGTTGTATATTTAAATATGCTTTTGTATAATTTCTGATTTCCGGAAGCGGTAGTTGACTGGCTCGGCGGCGTGGCGCTTTGTGCTAAGCGTTCGGAACACGCTCGCTCCCGCAGGGTGGTTCACGTAACCGCTGGTAGGTTATGGTTTCCTCCACCATCAAGTCCATGCTTCCGAAAACAAATAACTGGCTATTCTAATTCCATACCTGACATGAACTGGTAGCCGGATGAGAGGCTGTGGTTCGCCATATGATTAGGTCGTCGGTTTTCCACTCCCCCAGGATAAATTTGTAAATCCTAATTCCTAATTTGTGATTTTTATTGTTCTTGCTTGGCGTCATTTCTGTTGCAATATTTTTAAAAATGACTTCTCCAATTACTAGGTCAACTTTGTGTTCTAGGTCATATCACTGATGACACCGGTTCATTGCATCTTCTTGGTTCTCTGTGTGATCATTTTTGTAATGCAGAAAGTATTGGTATCAACAGGACAAAAATATTACATGAAATTCACATGAGAGCTGTTGGAGCTTTTTATGATCTTACTGAGAAAGATATGACAGGACTTGCCAAAGTTCTGCACAATACTAAGAATATCCAAGAAAGTCGAATCGTGAGTGGATGTTTATTTAGGGAGTAAATCTCAACAGTCGATAGTCCCTATGCTAAGTCACATTATTAGCAAAATTCATTTATTTTTCGTGGAAATATGCTGTAATTATTTCCTATAGATCACCTAAAATATGCTGCGTTCAAGTAGCAATAATTTTTTTCATATGCTTTGCTTTTATTTTACAAACTTCATTCACCACATTTGGAAATAACCTTATTTACTTAATTTAATGTTCCCACAAAAGCAATGAATATAGATTTAAGGATTCTCTCTGTAAACACTTGTTTATTACTCATTAGCTTTGAAAATCTTTTTTTTTCAATAATATAGGTCATTGGAGCATTGTTGTCTCTCAGTATTGACCAAGTTCCAGTTGCAAGTTTTGTTAAGTTGTCTCATCTTGTTAAACTTGGTTGTTCACTATCTTACAAAGTGTTGCAATTGGATGAGAAAAGGCTGCACTTGGCTGAAGATATTTTTCGTCTTTGTCAGGCTATTATTGAGAGTATACAACATAATACTAGGGTGAGGGTGCTTTATTAGGTTCTGCAACTCTTCAATGATGTTTAAAATTATTGCGAATTGAATTTTATAATGTTCCAAGTACTATATAGGAACCAAAATTTAGATATTTACTGACTATTTCTATTACAATCACAAGATAATCTACCAGTGCTTTTTTGAAGGTGGTGAAGAATTGTCTGGCATTATCGGATGTGAATGGAATGATATACTGTATTGAAAAGTATTTGCGAAGTAACATGCAACAAGATGTAAAACTACTAGATGAAGCAGGCACCACTCTACACATGCTAGTGATATACAAGTGGGTACAGTGATTCAACTTGACACTTAAGATAGGATGGATTTTTCATATTTATCCCAGGGGAGAAAAAAGCGGATAGGGCGACTGGATTATATGGTGTACCGCTGCCTCTTGCCCGGATAACAGTCCATGTTGCGTATGGAACTAGTTGACCATTTCTTGTTTCTGGTGCATGGACTTGATAGTGGAGGAAGCTGTACATGCTAGTCAGTGGTGTGATGGCAAGCGTGTTCCTCACGCTTAGTACAATAGGCCAACTGCTGAGCCATGAAACTTGAAATAGTATCAATTTCATTTAAGATTCAAGCAATTTTTGATAGCAAGAAATTGAGCCACACAAATAATTTGATTTGTGGCCAATGGTTTCGTGTTTTTTGGAGAATTAATGTGTTTGATAGAAATATCCATCTCCATAATATTGTGACACCAAAAACCATGCATGAAAACTCATGTATGTTTCAAAACATCTTTCACATTATCAGAAATGTATTGAGTCTATGCAGATACAAGCTTTCACTCACAAGTTTTGTGTATTGTCAATTTTTTTCTAAATAGGTCTTAGTATAAACCACCATTTTAAAGTTGAATTCGTTTTTATTGTAGTGAAATATTTACCACAAAAATCTTTATGTGAGAGAAATTGGAAAATTATTCACAAGTTGTGAATGTGTAGTGTTCATTAATAAAAATTATTGGAAATTCTCATTTTCCCTGAAATAATTTATCCCGCACTTGCAATCGAAAGTATATTTCCACTTTAGAAAAGAGTTGATGTCCAAAACAGAAACAAAGGAAACAAATAATAATGTTGTTGAGAAAATGGAGATCTTGAATAAGGTATGGTGAATATATGGCCAATCCACATCATGTTTGTAGGTTTGCCTAAAGCTTTTTTGTGTTTTAAACAGGATTTTATCATATGATTATGAGTAATTTTGAATCTTGATCTATATTATCTTTTAAACTGACCTTATTGTGTCCAGGTGATATTCAAACTGATTTACCATAATCTGTTTGTTTACTGCAGTGGTGGCATATTCATAGAGTATGTTATTTAGTAAACTCCAATTTTAATGTAATGCAAGAAGTCAAACTATGTGCTGGAGAAATAATACTTGATTAACCTTTTTCAGACAGTTCCGGTGAAGGGCCAATTGAATTATGAAAGGTTTAATTGCATTGATACTGACACTGATGATTCCGTAATTCGTCCATATACTCCTGTTATATGCAGATTTGGTTGGTTTCTATTTACTGTTTTCATATGCACGGTTAAATGTGCAGAATGTTTTTGATTTGTTCAAATATTCACAGATACAGCTACTGAAGCATCAACTACCGAAACAGATACAGAATCCAATAACTTCTATTGTATGTAAATGTCAATTATCAGAAGTGCTGATGGACAAATTGAAATTGCTAGAAGAATACTACAAAAGAATGTTCTGCAGGAAATACAACTGCTATATGCTAGATGGGACTTTTCTTGTCATTGTTGTAAACTTTTTGTCAGAGGAAGTCTGATTTTGGTCAGACGAAACGTTACAGAAATACATTTGTGTTAGTGTGCAGCGGGACTCTTGAGATAGTGTAACTAGATGCTACTATGTATTTTATTCTTTTCTTGCATACAATGGATGTTTCCTTTTTTATTTCCGTAACAATGGCCAATCAGCAAAAGCCATTAATGGCGTAACAATTGATTTAATTTACAGTTTCATTCCGCAATATTCTTCGAATTTTGTTTACGTTTCTTTACTCACAATATGTTATTTTGATTTGTAAATATAATTATGTCGCAATGAGCCACATTACTCGTATTTCTCCGATATCTTCTTTCTGTTTTTGAACATAAAGATTTCTTTACTTTGAATTGTTTTGCTGAATCAATATTTTTCTTGTTGGGGATCATAAATATAATTTTTCTCCACTGCTAATGGACCAATCGCTTTCAAATTTTCAGTATTTCAGAAAGAAAAATGTCTCAACAAGGCTATTCTAGTTTTTTGTTATTGACTATATTTTGGCTATAACACAACTCCATGTGACATTACTGGTTATTCTTTTTTTCATCATTTATCTGGAATTTAGCATGCAAATATTTGAGCATAGTTAGTAGCTATCCTAGTGGAACAATTTCAAACAATTTTTTAGGCAAAAGTGAGAATTTCAGGCTAACGAAGTCTGTTGTGATACGCCTCCTTTTGTTAATCCAAATGTAGCTATGGTATAAAATTGTCTGAAAATTCAAATTTTTTATTACCGCATTGTACAAGTTTCAATCCATTCTTGGGTATGATTATTGTTATCATTATATTGATTTCAACCAGTACTTATGGCCGCTTGTAGGGTCATTATCCCCACTTTAAAGGGCATTTGTTCTTCTCGTGCCTACTTATATCATTGTGATATATTCAGGGTCGTGCCAAACTTTTCTGCTGCCCAGTACGAGTTTTTGACTATTATGCTCTTTATACCTAACTTCCAAAATATTTCGGGATTGTGGCACAATAATGATTTAACAGATTTAATAACCTTTAAATTAGATTTATTACCAAATGTACTTGCTTGCAACTAGAATTCTACAGCTTAGCAAAAACCTATTTGAGCGATGTAATTATGGCACAATAATGCATTTAACAGTTTAATATGTCACAATAACATCTCGCCCGCTCCTTGCGTAAAATACAAAAAATGAAATATTATGACGTCACATATTAAATGCCCAACCCCTACGTCTTTAAATGGAACCAAGCGTATGTCCTAACTCAGGGGTTCTCAAACTTTTGGTGTTGCGGAGCCCCTGAAAAGGTTGACTATTATTCGCGGAGTCCCAAAAGAAATGTTAAAATTGTAGCTTTCCGATAAGTATTCCTGAGTAAGTTAAAAGTACTTAATTTAAATGCTACACCTTTTTTCAATGGAGTTAATGCAAGTCATAAATAAATCAAAATTTCAAAGATAAATTATATATACTCTTAATAAAGCTGTAAATTTGACACTTGACAAACATATTAATAAACTAGGGGTCGAATCTTTTCCCTTTTAACATTTTCGGAAGACTTAAAAGGCCGCTAATAACGTGCGCGATTGCATTTTGTTACAATCACCGATAGTTTTCGTCAGCATGGCATGTTTTTAAACATCTTTATGCCGGTGTTTATTCTCCCTAAATCAAAAATTTTCTTTGCCTATACATGTATTGATCCACAATGACGACGATAATTGCTTTTTTGTTCTCGTGGGGAATTATGAGTTCAATGTGAAAACATGTTACCATATGGTCATCGGCGACGAAATGCTAAAAATAATAATTAATAATAAAGAGGTAAATCCGCAACTCAAATTTCTTGATTGAAAAACGGCATTCTAAAATATTAAAACTTAAAATAAAAGATCACACTATAAGTTTGGTTTTAGCAGACTCACATCAGATCAAAAACGCTTTTATAGGCATTGTTAATCACAAAATTTGGTGTAATGTTAGGTTTTCTTTGGTTATTCATCGTATAGTAACTGCGAAATCGAAACATAGTCAATCGTGTGCGCGATTTACCTTTTTTTTCATTCTGAAACTACCGACGGAGCCGCATGCATTAAAATAAATTCAATCGTATTTTGCCCAGATCTTGTGATTTTTTAAACGGCGATATCTTGCTTAATAATAATCTCGAGTGCAAAAGAACAAATCAAGTTTGACAGATTCCAAGATCGCAAAAATACGACTCCAATTTATTTATAGTTGGCAGTTTATCACGTATTTTATGTTATTTTAGAATAGTATTCTTTCATTTTAGTAATCCTAATAGCAATCTCGAATGAAACTTGTGTAACTATGAGTACAATTGAATTATTACGACAAGACACTTTAAATGCTCGCATCGGCCATTCATTGAATATTTTACGCAACAGAAATCTCGTTATCCGTTTTTTATAATCGCAAAGAATGTTGCGCGGAAATTTCCGTTTCAAATCCCCACCTCTTGAGAATCCTGGCTGCGCTCCAGCTTATAAATAATGTCATTTTTTAATTTCTCTCGCGGAGCCCTGGGGCTCCGTACGGAGCACTTTGAGAACCTATGCCCTAACTAACCCTAAGTTATTCGGGATTTTGTCTGCTTTCCAGAAATCGCTATTATATACCCTTGTGTGTGTCGTGCAGTTAGTATTGTTTCTTTGCCTTGTTGGTGTTTCCGAATAAATTTCTTTGTTTGGAACCGGATTGTGTGCACTTGGTCATTCGGAATGTACATCCGTGTCGCATTTACATCGTCATGTCAGTCGTTAAGATTGATGCAATTCAATTACAATGTTCTTTTGTGTACGGAACACTAGGGTCAAGCAAATTATAGAAGCCGTTTCGCTATGCACATGCACTATGAATCGCGATGTCTGCTACTATACCTTGAAATACAAGTCAAGTTTATATTTTCAAACCAGTAAAAAAGGTAAGTTTCATACAAAATACGAAAAAAAAAGATAATCACACACTTCAACTGGGAAGGGAAGTCGCGAGGAACCAAAGCTGGTTATCGAGCAGCGACACCTGTATACTTTACACATATATTTTATCACTAATCTAATCACTCGCTATACTGTCTAGTGTAGAGTTTCTATAGCACAGGCAGTAAATGCCACGTCTTTGACCCCTTCGCGGCAAAAACGTTTTCTATTGCCAATATCTTTATACTAAGTTTTACTGAGAGTCATCACAACACCAAATATACATAATGATGAAATAAAACCTTGGAAATAGATAGGCCTACTATAGATATTGTAGTTCTGATACCATATAATATGAATGGGGGAAATAGTTAAGTTTAGTGTTTACATGTCCCAGTGTTGAGTATTCTTGTTCTAATCTGATAATGCAAAAGGTGATAAGAATTAAAGAAGACTTGATGAAACGCATTTCAACAAAACCTATCATGATTGCATTTTTGCAAGATAATAAAAGTAAAATTTAATGGAGGTTTATATTTTTAAAGAAGAATGGTATGAAGAATGAGTATGAAGAAGAGAATTCGGAAAGTCGTTTATAATCGCTGAAGAACACACGGGTGCCCGAATAGAATCTTGTAATGTGCCTAATATTAAATTTCAGAATGTGCTGGATGTAACATCATTATATATTAATACTTGTTTCCTTCCCGATAAGTAGCTTTTTAATTATAGCTCAGACCTGGAACAGCAATTTGGCTAGTGATATATATATCATGATCAATACTATCAAATGTCTTGAATAGATCCAAGAACAAACAAAGAGTATACTCATTCTTTCAAAATCCTTCTGAAACTTTACTGACAAGTAGAGATGTTGCATTACATGTAGAATGATTTGTAGCGAATACTAAATTGCTGAGACTAAATAATTTTTTTTTCTCTCAGGAAATTGAGTCCTTTGTACATAATTTTTTCTAGATCTTCAGAAATGCGATAATTTGAACTGGTTTATGTATTTATCAGATTGTTACCGCAGTTAAAGACACGTGTAAGAGCACAAATACAATTCCAGGCCATCATTCGAATAACTTAAACGATAATTCCATATATTTCCACAACCGATTCGGGTGAAAAAGATTTAAGAATATTTTGGACTTTGAAAACTGATGTTGGGGCAAGAGACGTTGAAGTTTTACTGGGCTACCCCATGGATTGTTTAAAGTCATTTCTTGTGTTACGAAAAAAACATTTCATCATTTTATTTACACATGTAGAAATGTGAGAGTTAAAATGGAAAGTGTTATATTTTTAGGTCATCGCGAAATACGGCTTAAAGCAGGGGTGGGCAACATACGGTGGGCAACATACGGTTTTGACCGGCCCGCTGACTGTATCCAACCGCACCCTGTAATGTGGCACTGTCAGTACAAGCTGGTGAAATAAACAATTGCCTTAGTGAACAAACAATTGCGTTAGCACACTTGTTAAACAAACAATATAAGGTCAAAGCAGAAAGCGTTGTAAACATTCCATAAACATAATCTATATCCACATAAACAGATTTATTATTTTGTCAACCAAATACAAACAGTCATCAATACGAAAAAATTACATAACTCAAATAAAATTGCTTTGATATTGACGGGAGGGAGCGATACGACCATGAGGTCATCGAGGTCACCTCCCACCCTATTTTCTGAAGTGATTAGGTTTCACACTGAAGATGACTATTAGAAAAGTTGGACTGTCAAATAATACTTTCAAAAATTCGATGCAATCTCAAAAAACTATTGGGAGAGGGCATGAGGGCATGAACTCATTCACACAATAAAAGTTCTATATGCGTTAGATCAGTGGTTCCCAACCGTCGGTCCGTGGACCGGTGCCGGTCCGCGAGGCTTTTTTGCCGGTCCGCGGAAAATTTCATTTTGTTGTTTTTCTATCGTCTCAATCGCTTTACCGAAGCCGAAAAGACGAAGTTACGTTGGTTTATTACGCAAGTTCTCTTCCGCCATCATATTGCTGTTTGATAAGTGCACGATTGCCCGGCGACGTATTGGCGCCGAGTAATCATACTTTTCGGTTCATCGCGAAAGCGCTCCGTCAAATCTCGCAAGATTCAGAAGCCTGGAAATCAACATGCGTGCTTTTTCCGTTCTGCATGCTTTTCTTGATTAATAGGTCGAAGTTACGTTGGTTTATTACGCAATTTCTTTTCCGCGTCATATTGGTGTTTGATAAGTACGGTATTAATGGCCCGGCGACGTCTTGGCAATGAGTAATCACACTTTTTGCTTTTTCGGTTCCGATTCATCGCGAAAGCGCTCCGTTCTGCTGCATGCTTTTCTTGATTAATCCAAATAAAAGGTTATGAATAATTCTTTGTTTAAACCAGAATCTATCAAGATAGACAATAAAATATTCCAGAGCATCACCATGAGCATTTAATAAAGATACCGAAGCATTTTTTGTAATCATCCGGCCCGCCGAGTACTTCATTTTCCCAAATCTGGCCCGCCGACTAGAGAAGTTGCCCACCCCTGGCTTAAAGCGAACTTTGGCTTACTTGGACAATGTGACTGTTTATGGTAAGAGCCGCGAAAAACATTATGAAAGACTGCAAGCATTTCTCTCTTGTGCCAAAGCTTGTGAGTTAACTTTAAACCAGGCTAAATCCATTTATTCTGCTACCGATCATTCCGTACTGGGTCATCTAGTATCACATACCTCTATAATACCTGATCCTAAGCATTTCAAACCATTGCTCGACATTAAGACTTATCGTGATCCTAAGAATTTAAAGCAGGAGTGTACAGACTGCGGACCAAATGCGGTCTACAAGGAAAACTTATGTGGCCCGCAGACAAGTGCCAGTATTGAATGTGTCACGGTTAAGATGTTGGCCTAATCCTGGCGTGATTGTCATTGTCACGGACCAAGATGTTGCTACCGTGGTTGTAGAATGAATCAGAAGACTCAAATGTTCCGGATTGGTTGTTTATTGTACGGCAACTCCAAAGCAAATACCAGCCAAACAGATTATATAACTCAAACAGATTAAACAAAAAAATAACTAGAGAACTGAAAACACACCCGACCGCCAGCGCGGCAGCCGGAGAAAGAGAGGCCGAAAGACAGTTTTTGTCTCACATGCAGTGAGTGATCGGAGTCCAAATCCGACAAAACAGCCGTAAATAAGGGTCAACATCACAGTCTATAAACATAAAAATATATATACACACACAATATAAACGCGGACTGCAAGGTCCGCGAAAGAGCCCCTTCCTTGTTCAGAATGAAACTCAACAAGTTTCAATCTCAAAAAAAAACAAGAGAGCTATGCTCAAATATATGGACACGTAGAGTCACATAATTTTGATGACGTCATAGCGAAAAAAAAGTAATAGCCTTCTGGAGAAAATTTTTATCTTTAACCACTGAAAATTTCAAAGCAATTGGTCCAGTATTCGAAGAGAAAAGCGACTTTTTAAAAACGTGTCAAAGAACAAGAACAACAACAACAACATAATATTGAAACGATCGTTATGTCCACTACGTGTCCAACAAAGAGATGTGAGCTGAATTCACGGCGATACCGGTACCTAACGTAGGTGCGGTACTGAGTTAGCAGTCAGCCAGCATTTTACCTGTACACTGTAGGCCATATACGGTAATTGATCACAGAACAGTTGTTCCCTTGCAAATTTTATGTTGTTTACACTTTAGGACAGATAATTGATCACAGAACAATTCTTCCCTTTCAAATTTTATGTTGTTTCCAGTAGACTCTCATCAAAATAAACAAATATAGTAGGCTACAAGTGCTACAACGCTTGCATTACTGCACTGGTAGGACCGTGAAAGAATAAGTTACGGTAATTTCATTGTGGTAAGACACCGGTACCGGCACCAGTACCAGTATCGTACTTACGTACTGAGCTACCAGTACCGGTACCGAACCTGTAGGTCTGATATTCCGTTCCGCATACGATAGGCTATAAAATTTGCATTGCAGCATTAGTAATACCGCGGAAGGAATAAGTCAATTTCACTGCGTTACGGTACCGGTATGGCAACTTACCAGTACCGACCTACAGTAGCTGTAGTACTGAGCAAGACAATCGATCGCGAAACCGCTTGAAATAAGTGTAAAACAGTGTTCCCATGAGTAAAAATAAATACCGCGAAATTTTGTATGAAATATCATATCTCATAGGATTCATATAAAATTTAAGAATAAATAAAAGTAATACCCTTCTGGGGAAAAATATAATCTTTACTCACTGAAAATTTCAAAGCAATTGGTCCAGTAATCAACGAGAAAAGCGATTTTTTTCATAACGATACCAAGAAGAAGACAAATAAGAACAAGAACAACAAAAATACCAAAACGATCGTTATGTCCACTAACGTGTCCAATAAACCTTCCTGCTCTAAATGTGAACCAAATATGGAAACTGCAATAATCAAAATTCAAAAAACACAAAATATCCAAATTCAAAAATGTGTGTACCCCACCCCCATTCAAACTGGAGGCATATTTACCAGAGAAGTTCCAACATGGCAGCATTAAGCGAAAGAAAATCAAAGTTGTCACGCATGAAATGGAACACACAATGTAACACAAAAAATATAGAATCATAGTCGCAATCTCTCGAGTTTGTTAAGTCGCCTTCAAACGCAGCCAGCAAAAATACAACTCGGATAGTTTTCTTTCCGTATCTACACGTTCATCATCTCAGCAATTTGGACGAAAATGTTCCCTCCTGGATATACTCCACCCCGCAGGGCTCCCGCTCGATATGCAACGGTTACTGGCTCATATTGACCACACACCATGAGATTTTAATACTTCAGGGCTCCACCACTGAAGTCAATACACTCAATCCCATCTCTGAAAACCGGTCACAACAGTCCAGCCAGCCTCAACTACCGCATGCATATTGAGCCATCATCGTTACTCGAAAGCTACTCATAAAAAACATTGTTCTACACCAAGGGGGGACAGCTTTATTTCCCAACTTTGCTGCAACTCGGAACACAGACAATATCGTCCGCCATAAACCTGCCAGACATTGCTCTGCTCTTATCCAAAAATGGCCACGGTCACACCGCTCCCGAAACCGACGCCTCCGGCACACAATTCCTCCATGTTGAAGTTCGCTTCCTTTCCTGTTCTCCGAAATTGCCGTCAACAAATCTGTCCAAATCCGTGCGTGCTCGCCATTGTCACGGACCAAGATGTTGCTACCGTGGTTGTAGAATGAATCAGAAGACTCAAAGGTTCCGGATTGGTTGTTTATTGTACGGCAACTCCAAAGCAAATACCAGCCAAACATATTATAGACTATAACTCAAACAGATTTCTTTTTTCTCACGACTCGATGGTGGTCGGAGTCTTACAGTAACCGGACCCGGATGAAGTATATCCGAATTAAGGATTCTCGGAAGGAATATAGGCAAATATAGAATGACAAACTAATCCAAAACACACGGATAATAAAATCCGTGACAAATGGTGTGATTGCGAAACAAGTTTTTAGTTTAGTTTATCTGGTACGTGTGGGCAATTCCTATTCTTGTGCAAAGCCTATACAGTACCTGAGTGCCACTGTCATATTAGCAAAACTAGCTAGCATAAATACACGATGTTATAGAAACGTGTTTCTCACTGACAAGTTTTCTTCAGAAATTTGTCTTTAACTCACCATTTCTGCAAGGATCACTAATAATGCCGTAAGATCAATGGCATAAAGAAACAATTTTGTGTGCCTGCCTAGAAAAGGTTTTCTTGAATAAAGGTGCGGCCCGCGGTTTCACCCAGTTACTTGTATCTGGCCCCTATTGTAATAAAGGTCCCACGTCTTTCAAACGATAAATATTTGAAACGAGAATTATTGACCTGAATAAAAAAATATGATACCTATAATATTAAAACTGGCATTATTCTGTAACAAGCCTGTACAATTTGAAAACGATTTAAAATGAAAAAAATTAATATTTGATTGTCAAGGCCCCTTTGCTTCAGCCTTCCTTGCCATATGGTATATCCGGCTTTGGTTCGAATCCCATAGGAAACGTAATGGGAAACGTGGAAGAGGATTGCTGACCCCTCGCTGTTGTTGGGTGTTTTACATAATGGATTATTGGTTGCATCTCCCCCCTCTAACCACACTTGCGGGCGCATTACGCTACAGCTTGAGAATGCGTGTATGAGCAAGTCATCGATAACTGGAGTGTTTCGCAGGGTTTATTGCGAATAAGTAACGATTGGCAAATTTATACATCCATTTTTCTTGATTCAGTTTTAATCTATTTAATACAAAAGAATCAAATAATTCAGCCGTTGAAAAAAAAATATTTGTGCCTGGAATTTTCAGTGTCTCAGATAAAGTTTTACACTATAGCTTTCAGATTCTATGCTAAAAGAAGTATCCTTCATAGAAGATCAATCCTAATTGCACTTAAGTTGGCGCATTTATGGCCAAGGGTTTTCATTGTAATATATTTACAAGTTTCTTTTTCAAAAATACAGCCTTTATTATCAGCTCCAACATCCAACACATGATAATAATATGACACATGACAGTTAGTTAATGAATTTTCTTCGCCATGATAATTCTATTGTTCAGTTCAAGCAGGCGAGTATTATTCAGCATGTCGATGAGTCAACCTACGCAATGCTTCCGCTCTCAGGTTATATCAAAATATGAAATCATTTACGTGCGCTTTATATCGGATGTTTGTGCATTATTAAAGCACATTATGTACTGCAGCTATTGTTATATTCTTGTTGAATGAACTATAGACATCTCCGTCATAGTCGAAAGATTTGGGAAATTTAGTATACGTAAAAGTTAGTGTTATAACTATGTAGTTGATAGTGTAATTACTTATTGCAATGATAATTAGTAAGGGATTTTTATTTATATTTTAGGAAAAATTTGGGAAAAACCATATCAAAATGATTGTTTTATGCTCCACGATAAACTGTGACTTCCTCATCACTCGATAGGTTAAATGAAACGCCGAATCTTAACAACTGTTTTAAATTTTGAAACCTTTAAGGAAACAATATGATACAATTTATGTTTTAGCTGGTAAAGTTCAAATCAGCTTCACTAAAGTGTAAATGTGATCAGTTAATGAAAATTCATTCAGATTAGCCGCATTAGTAATTGGCAAATTAAATGTTAGAGATTGTCAATGAATAAACTATGTTAGAATATGGCCTATGTCCAGACTAAATGGACATTACAGTCATATAAGGAGAAATAAAATGCAAATGTATAAAGATTGAATCATCGCGCAACGTTGATGTAATACAGTAGCTGACATGCAATGCTTGTGTGAAATAGAGAACATTTATTATTTCACAGATACTTATTTAAACGTAACGACAAGTGATCAAGGTCAATCAAACCATAACCATAGGCAAGTATAACGATGTATAGGCAACCGTTTTACGACAATCCGCCGGATGATTTTCCTGAGCCACCACTATACGATGAACCTCCGGACGACTACCCTTCACCGCCTCCTAGAAATGATAACAACTTTCATGAAAGCTATGAAGAGGAAGAAGAGGATCCGTACGAAGAAGTTGGAAGGAAATTCATTGCAGACGTGCCGATTGAAGGATATGTGGAATATACATATGAGGTAATTTTTACTTTTTATATAATATATTTTTCGACATCAACAAGTGATAAAGTAACCAAATATTGAATTTACAGATTGGATCGAAAGGAAGAAACCCGTGTCAATTTGGTGGATGGATACAACATTACGCTATAAGTGAAGATGGCTATACCCTCTATGCATGTGATGTTTTTAATAAAAGAATACAAATCATATCTTTACCGGACAGGAAATGCATGTAAGTGTTAGATTGAGAATCGAGAATCTTGCCTACAAGTACATAAAATACTGATATCAGTGTCGAAAACGATCGTGATTCGCTGGAAGCCGCATGCGTTCTTAATTATTTATTCCATCAACTATTTCAGTGAAAATTTATTACACTCATAGTATATATATATACAGTATATGATACAGATATATATCAAAAATGCATTTTATTGCTTAGACATTCCTTTACGACCACCATGCCTCAGTATGATTTTCAAGCGCGAGGTATCTCAGTTTTGCGTGGAGGTAACATTTGTGTAAATTGTGTCGGGTTTGATGGAACATCGAGGATTGGAATATTCACAAAAGAGGGACAACTTATAAGACATTTTGGGCAAGGAGAAATTGGATCGTCGTCCGCCATAACAGTGGATTCTATGGATAGGATTTCGGTGGTGGACAGGTAAGGGCTATTCGTGAAAAACGTGATTTGAAGTATTCATTCAACTTCGATATATAGTAGAAAAATAAATTTTGTCCTTGTTATTATTGTAATGGCATTGATGGCAACTTTTTTATTTGTCAAATGGTCATATCTCAATAAAACAGGGCTCCAATGCCCTCTAACCGTAATAAACAAGATACATAAATATGCTCAGATTAGAAGATTGAGGTCGTATTTCTAAAGTAGTATGCGGTCACGTTCTTCAATATTTTCATATTTGCCCAACTAAAAATGAACATCAATCGTAAATATATTCTGCTTTCTGTTCATATTACAGGCGAAAAATGACAATTGTAACATTGTCCAAAAACGGAAAGAAATTAGGCGCATTTTCGAATCCAGTAAAACAGGATTGTTTGCGCATATGTGCAAATAGCAGAGGAGATCTTCTGATACCTGATCACCTCAACAATGCAGTTTGGTACTGCGACGAACATGGGAACATCAAAGGAAAGTTGAAGCCACCTGGTGGACCTGCAGCCGGGTTTATGTATCCGGCAGGGGTAGCAGTTGACTCACATGACAACATATTTATATGCGATGTCGGAAATCATTCTATTGCAAAGTTTGGCCAAGATGGCGAATACTGCAGACGAGTTTTGACCAAAGCGGATAACTCTATTTGGCGTCCACATGATATCGTCATCTCCAAAAGAGGACAAGTGTTAATCAGTGAAGTCAACAAAACTTACATAAAATTGTTTGGCTACACTAGTCAGTGATTGTCCAATAAACCCAATAGTGGCTTTTTGGTTGTTCAATACTGGCTACGTGAATCATGTTTTGTTATCACTTTCGGTGTAAATTCTTTCAATTCAAAATCATCAATTTTCAATATTAACATTTGAAAGTTCGATAAATGATAGCTAAGTCTACAATAACAGCGTTGGCAATTATCAGTTAAGGCTGCTACAAAATTTTTGCAGTAATGATACACATCTCAATCGTAAAAGCAAATAGATATTCTAACAGTTATGCAAAATGAATTATATACAGACGAAATATATATTTGAAATTATATATACCGTAGTCGAAATCGCTTGGATTTCTATTTATTTGTAGTTACTGACACAGAGAAACAGTTGTTGAGTATGGTAAGATTGTATTTTATTTATTAAAACTTCAAAATGTTAATGATGGTAAGCTTGATCTAACAGAAAATAAATTTATTTATTTTGAAAATTTGTAATCCTTTAGGTAAGGGAAGATTAACATACACTCTACATTACGACGTGGAACAGTCTGAAAATAGAAGATCCACAATTCCACGCGTATTTTGCTCTTTGGCGTCTGATTTCATCGCCGCTTCCGCCTTTGTCAAAGTCCTGTCATTTTACTGTTGTTGTTAGATCGGAGGACCCAATATTCCGAATTGATTATTCATTGAAAACAGCAACTCAACACTTGAAATAACTGATGAAATCAATACGAGCAAAAGGGAATCGAGTCGTAGTGGGTGATCGGAGTCGTCTCATAATACAAATTCGGATATTAGTACAGTACACACACGGCAATACAACATCGAATCATGGATCTGCATTATAGTGTATGAAAACATTAAATATTTATATATATATATATATATGAACATAACGTAATCACGGACATTATTGTCCGTGACACTTGGTCTTTACCAAAGGGGGTGTCAAACCATACTGAGTAGCCAATTAAGCAGTAGGGTTACCAATGTTGAATTAAACATTCTCGAATACATAGCTGTTAGTTGTGGGATGCAATCTATATCAACGAACACCGAAAAAGTTCACAGATGTCTATAAAGTATCGCAGATTTAGCTCCGCACATTGGTTTAAAATAGCAGCTATTGCGTTTATAGACGCATCATATTCAATGGTAAAAGTCTTGCTGTCATCTATACTTCCATGGCAAGCATTTAGATTTTAGAAGATATATTCAAAAACATCATAGTAATATTTCAAAGTGGGAACTCGGAATTACGAGTTAAAGGAATCATTCTATCATAAATTTAAGGCTATATTTGGAATAGTAAACAAACATTTCGAGGCAACGGTTTAAACCAGGGGTGTGCAACCTTTATTACAGGAGGGTCAGATACAAATAACTGAGTGAAGCCACGGGCCGCACCTAGAATCTCTACCTACGAAAGGTTCTGAATACGAAAAATACAAATTACGAAAAGTCTTATCGTAAAAAATATTGCTCGGGCTAGCGTAAGATTTTCTATATATGAAAGGTCGAAAACCGAAAACTTAAAAAACGGATGTAGTGATATTTGTTTATTTTAGGTTACTTTAATGCAGTGCTTGAATATGGGATGCCCAAGTTGAATTTAATAATTGAATATTGCGACCTTCGAATATCTGTTTTTGTGTTTATAAGAATAACGAATATGGCGCACATATCCTTGCGCCACCGTCGACATTTGATTTGAAATATTACACAATTGTTTCATTTCTTATCGTAATCGAAGGCAGCCATATGTGGCGCGGCTATAAATTATCTGCCATCCTATTGGCCTGTTTGTTTCACGTGGGTATACGTACAATGTGTTGCTAGCGAAATTCAGTGAGAAGAAAAGGATATATGTAATAGAAAAAGAAATGAAAAAATTCGAATTTCATGTATGTGCTCAATTTTTTCATCACGTTCTCTATCAGAGGTCAAATTTTGTCGCCTCCTCTCACCTACTCCGACCGCCGTCTTCCCATTCTCCGCTGAATTCGTTTAGCCTAGCCTAGTCGATCAACGCCAATAATAAACAAACATACCGTTCGTAGTTTTTATTCGTTGTTCCTATGTTCTTTCTTCTTTTCACGTGAACTTTTTCTATGTATTATGCAATAATCTAATTTTGACATGTTTTTGTTGCAGGGTTGCGGGGTACCCATTATTATAATTTATAGAAATACTAGAACGGATTCAGACATTTACCAGTAAAATGTGTCCCTACTTATGGAATTTTTTTTACCCACGAAGGGGCTTCCGAAACAAATTGATTGTGCAGGCAAAGTTTCTACTGTAGTTACAAGCCCAAAAATTGTTTATTTTTGTTATTGATCTTAAAGCATTACGGTTACGGCCTTGCAGAAATGTTGAGTTAAAACGCATAAATTTATAGAGAAAACTGTTATTTAAATTTATTGTTACACCGATTTCAAACAAAATCAGTGAGAAACACGTTTTTATAACATTGTGTTTTCTGCAACAGGATTTTGCCAGCTAGTTTTGCTAATATGGCACTCAGGTACTGGTATAGGCTTTAGGACGCAAAGAGATTGGTATTGCACCCACGTACCAGATTGCCGAAACTAAAATCGCGGGATTTTTATTAGAAATAGATCATTCGCGCTAAAACCCCCCACCTGCTAAAAGAAGGTATCAATTTTCAATTATCCGCGGTGGACACAAGACTCGATAATCAAGAATGAGCGTTAAAAACGTCGAATGATAGTCGAGCAAGTCAACCAAGTGGCCAACCAAAGACTAAGATTATGGCACATTGAAACATCCGTACGTAAGGATTGCATAGCATTTAAAGCCAATGGCAAATTTTATCGTGAATCCAGAATCTAGAAATGAGTGTTGAATAATTAAAAAAAGGTCGATCACTCATTAGTTTGGATTTCTGCTCATTGACAAATCACCCTTGCCTACTATGTCTCTTTAACTAATATCCCGAAATGAAACGAATATATTTCTCCCAAAGTGATTTAATCCGGATATCAGTAAGACAAAGTGACCTGACAAACAATAAAGATGAATATTAAAATGAGTACAGGCAACCAGGCACAATACAAAGCAAGAATATACCAATTCACTTACATTTAAATGAGGCTTTGTCAGAACAGATTATCCCAATGTAAGAAACTTAAGAAATAGATTATTCATACCCAATGACTATAGCACCATTAACAAGCTTATGAGAACAGATCTGAAGACAGACTAAAGCTCTAGACAGTTAACCATAACAAGAAGTAATCAAGTAATCAGCCAATAATCGCGATGCAGTGAACCATACGTAAACACACCAAAAGTAAGTAGTACCAAGATAAATCGGTCAAATGTTCAAACCACTCCCCCCCAGTCTATGAATGCAATGAAAAAGACGATAATATTGAACATTGTTGACTCGGAGTAACTGATATGAGATTAGATGTCTTTCAACCCACACTGTAGCTCTTCTTTGGTCGCAATTAGACAAAGTTTATGTATTGGTCGATTGTATAAATTCCCATCGCTGTCTTTGATTGTAACACTTCTCACCAAGCCATCTGAACTGGGCATAATGTTGTGAACCAGTGCTTTTTTCCATAAACCTCTGGGTGCACTTCCGCCTTTAAATCCAGGTTGAAGAATTAATACGTAATCTCCAACTTGAAGATTGCGTCTTGTTCGAAACCATTTGTTAGCAAGTAATAGCTGAGGCGGTATGTGTTTCATCCATGTTTTCCAGAACACCTCAACTCTGTTTTCCGCCACTTTTAGCATGTCTCGTGGATTGAATCTCTCTTCTTGTGTAGTTTGAGGGACTACCTGCTTTGCATATGGATGTAAAAGAGTATTGCCAGTAATACAATTATATTCCAAAGGGTTTCCATCTGGGAAAAGTGGTCGACTATTGATGATATAAGTAATTTCGTTGAGAACAGTTGTCCATTCTTCGTAGGTCATAAGAGCCCTGCTGTAATTCACCACTGATGCATCGAGTGCTTTGCGAACCGAGTTGATAAGCGATTCTACTACTCCATTCATATGTGACGCGTAAGGCACATTATATTTCCAATCAAATTTCGTTTGATTCTCTGCCATCTCATGTTGAATCAACTGAAAATTCCATTTCTCGATCCATTCCTTGATAGGCGCTTGACTAGCTTGAAATGTAGTACCTCCGTCGGAGAATACAAAAGCAGGATGAATTCCCCTTATAGATACAAATCGTCTCCATGCCCGAAGGAACGAATTAGTATCCAGAGCCAGACACAGTTCCAGATGAATACAACGAGTGGTTGCACATGTAATAATTAAAACAGACGCGTTGATAACTACATTTCGAGATTGCTTTACTTTCAAGTATCCGAAAAAATCCATTGCTACAGAATTGAATGGTGCCATCTGTGGTTGCATTCGAAATGAAGGAAGTTCTCCCATGCGTTGCTGTAGCAACTTTCTACGACGAATCCTGCAAAATATACACATTGATGCTATTGATTTTAAGAGTATTCTTCCACCAATAAGAACAATACCGTCATTCTTCATATTTGCCAATATAACTCGATACCCTTGATGTAAGAACTTTTATGATAGAACACTCCAAGAAGACGAACGAGGGAATGTTTGCCCGGAAGCACGACTGGATGCTTCATTTCCATATATAAATCAGTTCTATTCAGTCTTCCACCAATACGAAGAATTCCGTGAGAATCGAATAACAAGTCTAATTTCCATAGAGTTTTGACAGCCTTCCCAAATTCATCAATCATAGATTTTTGACAAATTCTGAATATACACAATTTTGCTTTCTCTATGTATTGTACGACATCGGCAGGTTTAAATTCCAAATTGACAAATGATTTTTGCTGAAATGCACCCTTCATCCAAGCTGTCGCTCTTAGCAAGTCTTGCCATGAAGAAAAATTATCCGCTAAATCATTATCATTTTGATAAGGCAAATCTGCTTTAACGACGTTGAATTGTCTTTTTCCGCGATATGCTTTTGACTTAGTTGGTGGTTTTTCTTCCAATATTTCTTGACGTAATTCATCTAATTTTAAGTCATCATCATTCGGCCAATATTCCATTGGTTGCCATAGAAATTCAGGTCCTTCATGCCAAATTGTAAGCTTCTCGCAGGAAATAGGTTTTGTTAAACAATCTGCAGCATTAAGAAGACTTGGAATGAATTTGACTTCTTTTGTTAGATTCTTATGTGTATCTTGAAATTCTTGTACTCTTGAAGCAACGAATGGTTTGAATTTTCCAGATTGGGAGTTCAACCAATAAATAACAACTTTGCTGTCTATCCAGAAATATTTGAATGCAATATTGTACGGTAGTGCTCTACTTATTTCATGCACCAATCTGCTCATGCCTATTGCTCCCATTAGCTCCTTTCTTGGAGTACTTTTGTGTTTGAGTGGCGCCACAAATCCCTTTGCTGCAACGAATGTTAGCTTAACTCCACCTGTTGTAGGCCACCGTAAGAACACACAAGTGCCATAGGCTAAATCTCCACCGTCTGAAAATGCGTGCAGTTGAGGAGGTCCAGTTGTGTTTTCAGGTTTTCAGACATCTTGCAGTTGAAACTTGAGCTAACTTGGACATTTCTTGAACATTGTTTATACCAGCATTTGACCACATCATCTGGCAAAGTTTGGTCCAGCTAAATCCATCTGCCCAGATCTTTTTGAAGATCTATTCTATACTGCTTTGTGACTGGAAGTAAATAACCCAGAGGGTCCCACAATTTCATTACACATGCTAATGCTTTTCTTTTTAGAAAATCCTGTTTGCATGAAAGAAATGTCTTTGAATTTTGAACTGAAACTGTCATCAGTTTTATTCCAGGAATGACCAAGTACATCAACAACTTTTTCACCAGGATTTTGATCTACTTCAGGATGGTTTGAGTTCCAAATCTTTATAGAGAATTTTCCACGAATAAGTATTTGATCAACATCATTGATAACCTTGTTTGCAAGAATGTGATTCGAAACAGAATGACTGACGTCATCAATGTATGTATCTTTGTCCAATACAACAGCTCCAAGAGGATGATCTTTTCGAAATTTATCGGCTAAAAATTTAATTGTAAAGCATGCCAAGTCAGGACTAGATTTATCTCCGAACATAACCCGAAGCCATTGAAAGATTGTTGGTTGCAACGATGAATCACCATAGCGCCAAAGGAAACGATGAAATTTCTGATCGACTTCTACCATTTGAATTTGATTAAACATTTTCGATATATCACCAGCAATAGCCACACTATCAGCTCGCCATGCCATGAAACATCTGAACAAAGAATTCGCAAAGCTGGGACCTTTCTCTAAACCATCATTGAGACATGTGCCCTTAAAAGGACACGCAGAATCAAATACTATTCTTAATTTTGTTGAGGTTTTATCCGGACGCTCTACGATACGATGATTGAGGTACCATGCATTTTCAACTTTAGCCGTTTTCGTTTCAACCGGTGTTAGTCGTCGTACTACGCCTCGCTGAAGCAGATTTTTAATCTCCATATTATACTCTTCCGTTTTTCCTTTTCTACACAATTCTTGTTCCCGTTTTTTCATTTGTTCATACGCCTTCTCATAATTGTTGTGCAATTTTTCTGGAAACCAGGTTCCATGGCATTTTGACACAAACTCGGCCATCAGCACTAATATTGGTTGTCGCTTTTTACATGTTTGATAAATGCTGATTCTGCAATTTCTGAGTTAGAACAAACACACAAAGTTGTGGGTTGCACTCCAAGAACTTCACCATGGAAAAACTTGCGCAACTCTTCATTTTCTAATGATGAAAAACTATTAATATTTGCTACATGATTGAAAGATCGTTGCGGTGCTTGAATAATGCCTCCATATAGATAGCATCCAAGAGATGTGAAAGCTGCTGAAGGATGATTATCGGGATCAATTGGCGAACGTAATGAATGCATTGTTTGAATTAAAGGTGGCATAATCCCTACCAACAGAACATCGACTGTTTTTTGCCCACTGGTATTTTATCCTGAATTCCTCTTAGATAATCAAACTGTTTTAAAAATAGATGGCGGAATTGTGTAAACATCGTGACAAGGTTTTCTCACAGCCGTAACTCTGATATCAAATATCTGGTCTCGTGAAAGAGGTCTAACTTTTAAATTATAATCTTCAGAAGGTTCTCCATGAATGGCTCCTCTGCGACACCAAACCGAAATTGTTTCCATGACCTATTGCTTTTGTTTCAATGATTTTACAAAAGTTCGTGCTTACACGAAGAATGGTTACTGCCACATCAAGAAAAGAAATTTGCCTTGAATCCATGTTTTGTCACTCGCCTGCACTTCTGCAACAAGTAATGGAGAATTAATCCAAATTAAAAGCGCTGCAATTGTCTTGAATGCAATCTGAGATTGGTTGAATACTGCTGCATTAGAGTGAATATGTTGACTTCCAAAAATTCGAGTCGTTCATACCAGAATTTCTCATTGTATTGTAATTTCCCTGTACTTTTCCGGCGACATAATGACCAATGATGTTGTCTTTGGTTAACAATTTACAACAGCTATCGGCTATTGTTCTTGCACAATTTCTTGCAAAGTGAGTTCCTAGACATATAAAACATCTTCGATCATCTGCTATAAAGTTTTTTCTTTCAGGAATTGATAGGTTTTGATATTTGTTGCAGTCTATAAGGCGGTGCTGAATTCCACATCCAAAATACAAGTGACTGTCCTTCGACGTGGCTGAACTGAACCCATGTTATCATCTCGTCTGTAGCATGATTAACCGTATTGAAATTAGATCTTGGCGACTGGTTTTGTCTCGGTCGAAACCTCATATTCTCGGTTTGACTGATAAAGTTACCAGATATTTCCAACGCTGTAGCTTCAGATCTCAGAAAATTCGTTATAGATTCCAAGTTATGATTACCTTTGCTGGAACTATTATATCGCAGTGCAGTGTCTGCATCTAGACACTCTAATGCTCTATTGACAGAAATAACCGAGTTTGCATCCTGTTTTAACCCAAGATCTTCCATACGTCGGCAGAAGAGAGAAATTTCGTGAGCTAGTCGCCTAAGGTTCGCTGGATTACGAGAGGTCTTATATAAAGGTTTTATTTGCTCGTATTGCTTGATTACTTCACGTTGAACTACTGATTTAGGAATACGCTCTTCCAGGCGTTCCCATGCACTTGAAATTGATTTACAGTCACATATCATTGTTTGATAATCGTTTGGCATTGCACCATTGCGTAAAAGCCATGAAATTTGCACTAAATCATCCGTAATTCTAGCATGGTGCATTATATGTGTAAAACGTTCTTTCCAGGTATAAAAGTCTACTTTTTGTCCGTTCCAGCATGGCGGATCCATACCACATAACTTAATCATAGGAGGATCATTATTATAATTGTTTTGAGTGGTTACAAGAGATGATATCACCGGCTTTATATCTAGTTTGTCTTCATATTTCTCAAAATCGATTGCAATCTTGTTTTCCACACGTAAAATTTCTTCACTAAATTTGGATATAACGGGTTTTTCCTCACTTTGTGTAGTACTGTCTTCTTCAATTAGAGCCAATTCCATAGTATCAATTAGACAGACCAAAAATGCTATTTTATCGTTAGCATCATGAAACAGTATTTTGACCTTTTCAAAATCTCTTCTTTCCAGAGAGTGCTCAAATCGTGTTAAAATTCTTTCCAAATTTACTTTGAGTACCGGAAACTTACTCTTGAGTTGTTTGAAATTCTGACCTTGAAAATATTCTGCCATTGTTAGTTGGCATTCTTGCTTTGATGTATTGCTGAATCCTCGAAAGGTTGAAGAAGAACTGCTTGATTCAGACTCCAGTTTGTAGGTGTAGGTGCATATCATTAAATCACTAGTTTGGATTTCTGCTCATTCAAATCACCTGCTACTATGTCTCTTTAACTAATATCCCGAAATGAAACGATATTTTCTCCCAAAGTGATTTAATCCGATATCATACAAAGTGACCTGACAATAAAGATAATATTAAAATGAGTAAGGCAACCAGGCACATACAAAGCAAGAATATACCAATTCACTTACATTTAATGAGGCTTTGTCAGAACAGATTTCCAATGTAAGAACTTAAGAAATAGATATTCATACCATGATATAGCACCATTAACAAGCTTATGATCTGAGTAGACAGAAGTCTTACAAGAAGTAAAGTATCAGCATAATCGCGATGCAGTGAACCATACGTAAACACACCAAAAGTAAGTAGTACCAAGATAAATCGGTCAAATGTTCAAACCACTCATTGTTTCTGCCACACAGTATTGTGACGAACTTATACGAGATTCTTTTACCAATAGTATTTCGTAAGTAAGAGAAGTATGGCTCTTGACGTTGGGAGTTGACGTTTGCTCAAGCATCGTTCTTGATCTGGCACAACGCAATTCGTCTGCCTATGAAGCATCTCGAATTGACGAATTGCTAACCTCGACATTGTTCACTTCCTACAATAAAAAATGGTTACTCGGTGATACCACAATCGCTCAAATTGTCAATCTTGCAGTGGTGGTAAATGCGAAAAAAGCGCTGC